TGAAGATCCTTGTCATTTGGGATGTTGTTAGAACGGTCTAACGATAAGGAACCCAGATACAAATATTTTGTCCAAATTTTAAATGTCATGGCTGCAGAAATATTTGCGAAGATGTAGTCAAAAACTTTTTTTAAGGTCGAAGCTACAATTATAAAAAATAACTCCCAGAAATTGATTGATTATTATTTTTTAATTGTTGGAATGTTCCATAAAGAATAACATTGGAAAAATTACGTATTTTTGTAAGTGTGTTTTTCAGTTAGGCATTTAAAAGTTCTCATATCATATGGGAAGCCGCACCGTTAGAAAGGTCTAATGATAAGGAACCCAAAAACAAACATTTTTTCCGAAATCATAATTGCAGAAATATTTGCGAAAATGTAGTCAAAAACATTTTTTAAGGTCGAAGCTACAATTATAAAAAATAACTCTGTCAGAAAAGAAATGCATTGTTTATTATTTTTTAATCGCTGGAATGTTCCATAATGAATAACATTTTGGAAAAGTTACGTATTTTTGTAAATGAGCTTTTCTATTAAGCACAAAATTTTTGAAATTTGGACTAAATTGTTTTGGACGTTATTACCGTTTTCGTAATCGAGTGCATGTACATATAATAATTCTATTGGTTGTTTCCTGTTGTAACGTCGACTTTATTACAAAGCAAATTCCCGGGATTGTTGGTATATAAGTATAATCTAATTTAGCGTGCTGAATCTTCCATTTATCTTCTTGATAACGTGTATTATCAAACTTCCGCTTTGTACTTGTAAATTATACGAAAACCAAGTGTACCTGTGTTTATTTATTGTGATGATACTGTTACATCCAATATGTACGTTATAATTAAAAACGTTATTACCGAGCGAAAAGGATTGATTGATAATGATACATACTTAAACCAGCACGGTTGATAAAAATCGTCATTTTTTAAAAAATTTCCAAAATCGATAATTTAAAAAAAAAACAAAAGTTGTGTTTTTGTAGAAAGCAGTTAAATCCTTTTTTAATTATCATCATATACAAAAAATATTAATATAAAAATGTTTCTAGGTTTTACTTTTATGAATAGATAAGTACATTTTTAAGTGTGTTTTATTTCATTTTCAAAATAATCCGATTGATTAAAATCACGATTTTAATCATCGATTTAGATTTAAATCATGTCAACCCTGTAAAATAGTTTTGTTTTCTGTTTCCTTTCCGCTTTAGATTCCGCTATTTTTTTGGGCATTATTTTGTCGTTTTGCATCAATTGAAAAAAGTTGATTGATCACCCATTCTGCAACTTCATTTAAAGTTTTTGTTACGCATTATTATTATCTAGGTATCGATTTATCAAATTAAAATAAACGATGACGTTATAACTGTCGTCGTAACTCAGAGACTTGAGGTCGTCCAAATAATTTTCTGCAATCTAAATCTGGGAATTTGTGTCATCGACGTATATAATAATCAAATTTATCAATGCTACAAAAATAAAATGGACAATTATATTATTTCAGAAAAAAAATCTTGTTCATAGTTTAATTTTCTTGGGTGGTGGAGTCGTGGAGAAGGGTGAAATCATTTTTTTTTTAATTTTGAGTTAAATTTAAAAAAAATATGTTAGCCCATTCTACGCATTCGTAGAATAGCAATAACTGGAGAGTGAACGGGATGAAGATATTCCTCATAGATTTTTTGTTAACAGGTTTAGAAGACGACAAGGAATTCCCCGTCGAAATTTTACCGTACTTGTTCTTGGGGAACGCGGCGAATAGTGAAGACAGCCAGGCTCTCGCCAAACATAGTATACAGGTGAGTTTTATATCAATTGATTAATTAATTGATTAGATGATTGACAAATCCGTTCCCATTTCTGAGAGTGTGTTTTTGACAATTTCAGTACGTTTTAAATGTGACGCCGGACCTGCCCAATGTGTTCGAAGATTTGGGGCACATAAAGTACATGCAGATTCCAATAACGGACCATTGGTCCCAAAATTTGGCTAGTCACTTTCCCAGGGCCATAGAATTTATAGGTAAGTTTTCAAAAATAAATTACTAATGAGCGCACGTCGTCGTCCTCGGGCATAAGGGCCGTATTTAGGCCGACGATCTCAACTAAATATTACTTAAAAACAAATTTAACATTACTCATGGGCAGTATCAGCCAACTGACGTAAGAAAACGTTTTGTAAATGCGCCCCTGGCAGTGACGAACGACGTGAAGTTCTTATATATAGTTTATAAATTGCCTTGAGGGTTTTTTAATTTTTAACATATCAGTAAATAATAGATAGTACATACGTACATGGAAACCCATATTGTAGAATAAATTCAAATAAAACCTACCCTATTGCACCCCCAAATGACATTGTGGCGGTTTTAGTTTTGTGTTATTTTGTTGGCCTCAATGTATACGAAAGTATATATATCGAATCCGGATAACATTTTGCGATATTGTTGCTGGCGATTGCGTTTACTTAAAACGCGAATGGGGCGCGTGGGCGATCCAGAGCCGTCCGCCGCCTTCTCATAGCGCCCACCCGAAAATCGATAAATGACAAGAAGTTAAACGACAATGACGCGTGTATATAGATACGCGACGTGAGTGCGAGAGAAAAGGCGATAGCGTCGTCGGCGTTCTCTGTCTACACCCCCGCACGTATTACTGCCGCCGTTCGCCTTCATTCAGCAAACATGAATGGAAGGTAATGTAGGTCAACGAAGCAGGTTGCTTTGATCCATTCACTTGCCTGCTCGTTTTCGACCAAGAATGTAACCAAGTATAAAACAAAACACGCTTTCGCAAAACAAATGTTCCGAAACTGAATAACCATGTATCCATCCGACCTTCCTTCCATCAGCGGCTGCTGTAGCCTCCGTGTCTGCTAAGGTCGAGGGAGGAAGCCGTCCGTGCGTGGGATGGATTGGATCACTTGTTTTTATTTTTTGTTTTTTTTTATTCTTGTTTTTTGGTAATTTTCGCTCAGTAGATAGATAGCGTTGAAACAAAGAAGAATAACAGCTGAATGCTTTATTAAACACGGCGTAGTTGCTGGACGATCAATAAAAAAATAAAAGAAGTGCCAAGTTGTTTGCTTCTCTCGTTTTTTTTTATTTTGGTTCAAATTTTTATTGAAAATACTACGAGATTAGTATTTTTTTTTTTTTTGATATTAAAATGCATTTTATTTGTAATTTTTGTAGATGAGGCGAGGTCTAGGAAGAAGGGTGTCCTCGTGCATTGTTTGGCAGGAATTTCGAGGAGCGTGACTATAACGGTGGCGTATCTCATGTACAAGCTGTCCCTGAGCCTGGAAGATGCCTTCAACATGGTACGAGACAGGAAAGCGAATATAGCTCCCAATTTCCATTTCATGGAGCAACTTTACAACTTCGAAAGACAATTGAAGTTGGACGTGTCTTCCCAAAGTCCCAGCGATCTCGCTTATCAACTGCGACAGGAACAGAGGGACAGGGACGAGAAAAAAATCGATAATCAGAACCCATCCCGTGCTTGTCCCAATTGCGACGGACTCGGGAACAACTGTAAGTGCAGGCAACATACGGAATTCTTGAGTCCTTTCGCTAATATAGGCGTCAGTCCAGATTCCGGGATCGAATTCGATCGATGGGCTTCGAGTAGCACCCCAGGTGAATGAGATGACATGGGGGGATCACAGTGGCACTTTTAGACCCCGGTGAATCAAACACCGCAACATGATGGTACCCTCTAGTGTCACTGTTATCTCCCCTTTCCACTTCTAATTTCCATTTTTTTATTTCATTCTGGCATTTTTTAATAGTACCTACATTACCTACACGTGATTATCAGGTGTTCGAATATTTTTCTTCGCATACCTAATGTTCGTAATTAAAGAAAAGAGAGTGTCGTAGAATCCAGATACTCGAATGTTTTTTCTTCTGTTCAACTGTTTTTCGTAACTGTTCTGCTTCCACTCACTGAATAATACCTACTGCTATTATTAATTCTTTATTTACACAAAACTTTTGCACATTTACCTACATATATATGTATATGATGTGAAAATACGTTCGTTCGTGTTCGTTAATTTTGCTATTAACTATTAAATAAATAATTATTGTTGTATTTAGTACCTACCCACTGTTTTTATAAAGACTTATAGACTATAGTTGATAATTTTTAATTAATTAAAAGTGTTTATCTATTATATAAACGAACGATTACGTGTAATAAGAAGTGCATTTTTTTTTGTTATATTTAATTATTAGTTATTATAGATAGTATAGTCGAAACAAACAAAAAACAAAACACTTCCAACTCATTTAATTTAATTGTGCCAGTATTATTTGTATACAAAATTACAAAAGAAGAATAACGAGAAAAAAAGAAATCCTTGGAAATATAATTTCCTTTGTTTCGTTTTACTATTGTCAGAGACGTGGTAACAAAATGTACCTACATTTCTCTATTGGAATTTGTGCCTTTAAAATTGTTATATTCAAAAAAAAAAAAAGAGAAAGAAACTTACTATGACCGATTGACGAGTACGATTAAATAAATTGTCTGTTATCACGTATCTAACGAAAGCGACGAAACACTTTTCTGAATTGTATCTTTATAAATAATGTAATAATTAATAAGATTGCACATTAAGCATCTGAAAAACTACTAGTACCTCATAAAAGATTATTAGAATTAAGCTTAGCAATTATATGAGCCAAATGTAAGTGCTATAACATTGAAAGCATATAAAAGTTAATCTTTTGTTATATCTCATTTTTTTTTTCATCGTTTGTTATTTGTAGTCAGTACGACTGTGCCATATTTTTCTTTTTTTTTTGTACACTTTAAGGACTTGCCATAGTATTTTTTGCATTTTTGTAAGTATATCACATATATATTCGTAACAATAATGTCTCCAGATTATAATTGTTATTATCTATTCGTGTTGATATTAATAATAATAATGAGGGATCGCAATTCATTCGCACATGTAAGGTCCGTACGTAGGTCGACGATCAAAATTCGTTGTTCGTATTAAAAACAAACTTAATTTTATTTATGGCCAATGTCAGCTGGTAGTTAACCAGTCCATTTGTCTGCATTACCCCAATTACAGGGTAAAATTAAGGTGCAATATTTGAGAAATGCAACAAATTCGCGTCTTACGTACGCCGCTGATAATGACGTTGTCTGCGAACGAAATGCGGTCTCTAATAGTATAATATTCCATGTATGTACAGTAGGGGCGAATCGACCTTTTCCTTTCCCTTTTTTTTTTAGAGTAAAGTATTGAAATGCATTTTATTTTCGTAAAAAATAATAAAACCGAAAAAGTTTCGATTCGAATGAAATTATTTTTTATGTAATGTAGACAAAAAGAACCACCGTCTGAAAAGGCTTGCAATTATTAATAGGTTTAATAGGTTAATTAGATACTCACCGTTTGAGTTGCTTTATGTAATTTGAATGTTTATATTGTTTGTTGTTTTCAATGTTGCAATTTCAATTGAAAAGCCTCCGACTTTATACCGTTGTTCAGAAGATAGAAGAAAAAAGTATTTATTTTGCTGTGAAAATATAAATAGAAAAGAGTTAGGGATCGTTAGGGAAATAGATGTGTTAGACAAATTGAAATTAATTAATTATACTGTTCGTTGGTGCCAGATTTCCAGATTTAAGCAAAAAATATTATACGTAAATGACTGTAGAACCAAATATTTTTCAGCCAACACAGATAAAAAAAATTCACACTTGAAGAATCTTTTTATTAATTAATTAGATTGTAAATAGTACAATGTTTCTAATTGTGCGTCCAATTCAACGTGGCACTTATTTGATATATGTATAACAGAAATTTCTGTACAGGGTGATTTACCGAAAGGAATTGAAAAAGTCGATGGTCGAAGGTTTAATCTCGATATCTTTAATTGACCGTTTTGATCAATCACCCTGTACATTATACGAAGGTACATATGTACAAGAAAAATAAACCACCCTCTTTGGTGCATTGTGAAGAAAAAAATCTTGTAAACAAGTAATTGTGTTTGTGCTTTTATATCAAATTGTATTTTTTATGGTAATAATTGTTACATTCCTGTTACACATTAATAACTCTGTAATATTGTTATATTAAAAAATCGTCATTGTATTTATTCTTCCATTAATTAATTCTACAAAGATTTATCCTTTTGTAATATTATTACTTAACAAAGAAAAGTTAACGTTTCATTAATTATTTATTTATCGACATGTTTACTAATTTGTAAAAAATAAATAATGTGAACGTCTTAAATCTTGGATCTTTTTTTTTTACATTTTCACATTTATTATATATTAATAATTCCTTCCGCATGCAATTGCTCAAATTACAATTATTTGGTATATAATTTAATTTAAACGTGTGCTATTGTTTACCATTTTTATTTATATTCCTTTCCCCTAAAAATTCTGAATGTTACGCCCATGCTTTTTATAAGTTTCTCATTTGTTTGTAAGATGGCTCTAGTTTTGATCTTAAACTGTTGACAAGTGTGGTTTGACGTTTGATAAATGTTAGAATACAATACAGTGCATCTGTTTTCGTGTGATAATTCGGAAATAGTTTATCCAAAATTGAAATAAAATTACGGATTGTGTAAATGTGTTATCATTCATGAGTATCCTGTGATTCATTGTTACTTACGCCTTCCAGTACATTAATTAAGAAGTTTTTATATATACTACTTTCTTTACGTCTTGAAGAAAAAAAAAACTTCTGAAGATGTTGGCTTTGATGAACAGAATTCTGGACTGGTTCCGGAGTTTATTTTGGAAAGAAGAAATGGAATTAACATTAGTAGGGCTGCAATATTCCGGAAAAACGACATTCGTTAACGTTATCGCTGTAAGTTTAACGACTTATGTTATGGGTCCATTTGATAAAAGCAAGTCCAATTGTTGACAAATTACTTTTATGATGTGTTTTAATATTAATTTAATGGTTTTAAGTCTGGGCAGTTTAGTGAAGACATGATTCCCACTGTTGGCTTTAACATGAGAAAAATAACAAAAGGAAATGTTACCATTAAAGTGTGGGATATTGGAGGACAACCGAGGTTCAGGTCAATGTGGGAACGTTATTGTCGTGGTGTAAACGCAATTGTGTACGTTTGTGCTTGTTATTAAACTGATTAAAAATGATTGTAAAATGATACTGTATTTTTAACATTTAGATACATGGTGGATGCAGCAGACCCAGAAAAAATTGAAGCTTCAAGAAATGAACTTCACAATTTGCTTGATAAACCACAGTTAGCTGGTATTCCTGTTCTTGTTTTAGGAAATAAAAGAGACTTGCCACATGCTCTCGATGAAGTTGGTTTAATAGAAAGAATGTAAGATTATTAGTATTTCATGTACATCTCTTCAAGTTATTTGTTTTAGGAACCTATCAGCTATTCAAGATAGAGAAATATGCTGCTATTCAATCTCGTGTAAGGAAAAGGATAACATTGACATTACACTGCAATGGCTAATTGCACATTCAAAATCCTAGATTAAGAGTACAGTCAAATTGTGTGCATATACAAGCTAAAGAGTTTAATGTCAGTGCTCCATAATATCAATTGACTGTATGTAGCTTTCAAGAAACCTAGGTCCTACATTTCATTTACTAAATGGTAAGTTTTAAAACCTAAAAATGCAAGAGTTATGTAGATAAATTCATTCACTTAAAAAAGAAAAGAAAAAAATTAAAAAAGCCCAAACACACCAAACACGCAATTTCTCTGAATTAATTCGAATTGAAAGCCGATTTCTAAAGTATAAATACACTGAATCACAGAAAGTTTTTGTAAATGCAAGCATATTGTTTCTAAGATTTAATTGTATTGTGTAGCTTATTGTAGAGTATATAAATTACAGCTTTGCATAATGAAATAAGTGAACTATTATCAATTTATTTAATTATCATCTAATGGGTATAAACTTTATATTCATTTCTCTCTCTTTTTGTTGCATTTTTAATTTCCTTTAGTTTTTTTTTACCACAGAAGGAAAGGTCAATAAAATCATATCATTTTTGATTAATTTTTAACAAAGAATTAGGTTTATATCTTATAAGCTTTTTATTTTATTTGTAAATCGATTTTTCTAAAAATGCCCCATATATTTTAAATTAATACAATATTTTTTATTAATGTTTAATTAAAAACATAAAAAAGAAGAAAAAGCAAATCTCACTTGAAAGGTAACTTTTTGAAGTATTAAGCTTTAAACAGGGTCCTATACAGGGTGTTTATAATTTGTTATGATGTGTTATTATTTACCAAACTCATATTTGAAGTATAATGAGACATTATGCTTACTTATAAACACAGAACAATATACAATTAATTAATTAAAAATGTATTCTAAAATTTTGTATGTAATACGTATGTATATTTTTTTTATTATTGCTGTGGTACACCTTATTTTGTTTTGCAAAAGACGCCTTTATATTACGCGTTTTTGTACATAAAAATAAATATGTTGTGG